CCTTATCTTCCATGAATAAAGTCTCCCCCTGAAGATAAGGTTGAGTAAAAAATGATTTATTTTCTTCAAAAGTGACATCTGCAGACACATAGAATTTTTTGGTAGGAGGATGATAACACTTATATCCTTTTTGAGTTGAAGAATACCCCACAAAAATACACTTAATTGCTCTTGGATCCAATTTTCCCCTGTTATGACTGTGAACATGAACAAATGATGTACAACCAAATATCCTAGGTGTGAGATTGTTTGTGGTGTTGAGGTTGGGATAAAATTGTGAGAGTAGTTCCATATGAGTTTTAAATCCCAAAACTCTTGAAGGTAACCTATTTATAATGTGTGTGGCAGTGAGAACAGCTTCCCCCCAATAAGATTTAGGTACATTTGCTTGAAAAAGAAAGGCTCGGGTTGTGGCTAGTAAATGACTGTTTTTCCTCTCTGCCACTCCATTCTGCTGTGGAGTATTAACACAAGATGACTCATGGATAATGCCCTCTTTTTGGAAATAGGTGGATAGACTCTGGTTGAAGTAGTCTCTTGCATTATCAAACCTAAATCTCTTGATTCTCACTCCAAATTGATTTTGAATCATGTTTTGAAAGCTTAAAAACACACTATTCACATCTGATTTGGATTTAAGTAAAAAAACCCAAGAGACCTTAGTACAATCATCTATGAATGAAACAAACCATCTCGTACCAGAAATATTAGGAATTGTAGAGGGACCCCAAATGTCACATGAATCAAGTAAAAGGGAGTAGAACTTCTTTTGTTACTGATTGGAAAAGACACACGTCTATGTTTTGCATATTCACAAATATCACAATGAAAATCTTCAACATTTAATCCTTTGAACAATGAAGGAAACATGTTTCTCAAGGTTCCAAAAGAAGGATGACCAAGACGAAAATGATAAAGCCAAATTTTGTCTTTATTGGAAGATTTTTCAGAAAGAAATGACAAAGGTAAACTATTTTTGATACTACTTGTGTTATTTGATATGTCAAGATAGTATAGTCCATCCTTCTCCTTAGCAAGTCCAATCATCTTCCCCGAACTTTGGTCCTGAAATTCACAATAAGAGGGATAAAATGTTACTTTGCAATTCATATCTCTGGTAAGTTTTTGTATAGATATCAGATTAGTAGACAATCCAGGAACATGAAGAACATTTTTGAGAACAAACGAGAGATTAACTTGAACATCTCCTAATCCTGCCAATGTGGTGAGTGAACCATCAGCAACAACAATTTTCTGATTTACTAGGACAGCAGGTTATATGTTACTAAACTTTTGTGCGGGAATGTGTCATGTGGTCTATGGCTCCTGAGTCCAATGACCCAAGAACTGGTAATAGGCTTTGCCGAGACATTTATCCATGAGCAACCGGAAGCTTTACCTAAAGTAGAAACTTTACCCAAAGAAAGCATACCATAAGTAGGCTTTTCAAGGGATTTTCAATATAAGTTTATTCAGCTTTTCAATCTCTTCCCTGTTTGAACTCTTCCTTGTTTCTGGACATCTGTAGTACCTCCAGTGATTTCCCCGGTAACATTTGCCTCAAAATTGGATGATAGTGATATCCTTTCTTGAAAGGGTTCGGCAAATGAAGGCCTAAACAGGATTCGGCAGATGAAAGGCCTAAAAAGGTCGGCAATGAAGGCCTAAAAAGTCAGCAATGAAGGCTGAAAAATTTTTCTTCCCAAGAAAGAGCCTAAAGCTCTGGATACCATGTGGAACTGAATGTATATTGAAAAACTGCTTATCTACAATTATACAAGAATCTTAGGTTTATAGACAACTAACTAGGGGTTAAACTAGGAAACTAAATCTTCCTTAATTCTAGGGATACAAATACTTAATTCTAGAGATACGAATATAAATATACAGATTACAAGATTACAACCAGCTGTAAATAAGTGTTTTCCCACACTAATCAATCTTACAAATCGTCCTATCATTTTTCAATGATACACAGTGACATTTGGGGTCCCTCTAGAGTGAATAACATTACCGGTTCTAGATGGTTTGTCACATTTATTAATGATCACACCAGGGTTACTTGGGTATTCCTTATGAAGGAAAAATCAGAAGTGGGCCAACTATTGCAAAACTTCAACAATATGATCCAAATTCAATTCAAAACCAAAATCCAAGTGTTGAGAATTGATAATGGGAGAGAATAGTACAATTCAATCCTTGAATCATATCTGATGAAGCATGGTATAATTCATCAAAGCTCATGTGTTGATACTCCTTAGTAGAATGGTGTTGCTGAAAGAAAGAATCGACATTTGTAGGAAGGTGCAAGATCCTTTATGATAGCTGCCCATGTACCTAAGTATTTTTGGGGTAAGGCTATTCTTACCACTACATGTCTTATAAATAGAATGCCTTCTCGAGTCCTGAAATTTCAAACCCCTTGCCAATCTCATCTCAATTCATATCCTCACCTTCGAATCATCTTGTCTATTCCCATTAAAGTGTTTGGATACACTGCATTTGTTCTTACCAACCCAAAAAATCAAAGCAAATTAGATTCCAAATCCATCAAATGCATATTTCTCGGATACTTCCTGAATAAAAAAGGATACAAGTCTTACTCACCAATAACAAAGAAATTCTAGCATTCCATGAATGTTTCCTTTTTTGAAAACCAACCTTACTTTCCCAAAATTGCCATTCAAGGGAAGAATCCAATCACATGAGAATATCAGTTTTGGGAAGATCCTATTACCGAACCACTAAAACACCAAATACTTCTCCAACTCCCTTTCAAGTCCAAAACATCTAACTAGATCCTCCAAGCGTGAAGTCCACACAAGGGAAAACAAACAAGGAATTGATTGTCTATTCAAGAAGATATAAAACACAGAAGGATCTAGGAGAATGTACACTTCAAAGCAAAACCATGAATCTAAACTGATTCCAGAGATATTGGAAACCAACACAGATAACGCTCTTACTGAATATGATTCAGTTGAATCTTTTGATGATCTTGATCAACAGATTGCTTTAAGGAAAGGTGTGAGATCATGTACTCAACACCAATTTGTAATGTGGTTTCTTATGAAGGTTTATCACCCAGTTATCAAGCTTTTGTTACCATACTAAACAATATGCAGATTCTCAATCATATTCATGAAGCACTTATGCAACCAAAATGGAAGATGGTTGTTTTGGAAGAAATCAGTGCCCTAGAAAATAACAAAACATGAGAGATTTCAGAATTACCCAAAGGGAAAAATCCAGTTGGGTACAAATGGATTTTTACTGTCAAGCACAATGCAGATGGAAGTATTAACAAATTCAAAGCTCGCCTTATTGCAAAAGGATTTACTCAATCTTATGGTGTTGACTATGAGGAGACATTTGCTCTGGTTGCTAAACTTAATTCAATCCGAGTGTTATTATCATTGGCGACAAATCTAGATTGGCCATTCCACCAACTAGATGTTAAAAATGCATTTTTTTAATGGTGACCCAGTAGAAGTTTATATGGAAATCCCTCAAGGATTCAAAAACCAGGACAATTCTGGCAAGGTATGTAAACTTCAAAAGTCTATGGTCTCAAACAATCCTCACGTGCATGGTTTAATAGACTAACAAAAGTGGTAAAGAAGTATGGTTTTTCACAATGCCTGACCGATCACACCATGTTTGTTAAACATTCACCTAAAGGAAAAATAGCCATTCTTATTGTCTGTGTGAATGACATTATTCTTACTAGAGACTATGTGAAAGAAATTAGCAACCTAAAGAACCTCCTAGATTTGAAATCAAGGATTTGGGACACCTTAAATTTTTTCTTGGCATGGAGGTAGCTCGCTCAAGGAATGGCATCTCTGTTTCATAGCGTAAGTATGTCCTAGGCTTACTAAAGGAAATTGGAATGCTTGGATGCAAACCTGTTGATACCCCTACGGATACATTGAATAAGGTAGGAATGGAAGAAGGAAGTCCACCAACAGATAAAGGGCAAATATCAAAGACTTGTAGGGAAACTCATCTACCTTTCTCATACAAGACTAGATATCGATTTTTCGGTTAGCATGGTAAACAGATTCATGAACAACCCAACTGAGGAACACCTGAAGTTCTGCATTGAATCTTATAGTACCTAAATAAGAGTCCTTACAAAGTGTTATTTTTTAAGAAGACGTCACACGAAAATGTTGAAATTTACACTGATGTTGATTAGGCTGGATCTGTTATTGACCGAAGATCAACTATTGCTTATTGTACCTATGTGTGGGGAAATTTGATTACTTGGTGAAGCAAGAAGCAATCTATAGTGGCTAGAAGTAGCGTGGAAGCTGAGTTTAGAGCTATGTCCATGGCATATGTGAGGGAATTTGGTTGAAAAGGTTGCTAAGGGAGTTAAAGATTTTTGCAGAAGAATCCATGAAGATATTCTACGACAACAAAGCTACCATAAGTATAGCAAAGAATCTTGTTCATCATGATAGGACTAAGCATGTGGAGATTGATCGCTACTTCATCAAAGAGAAGATAGAGGAAGGAATTGTTAGATTAGTTTATACTCCCGCATGCCTCCAAACTGCAAGCATACTCACTAAACCTCTCTCTCGAAACAACTTCGAGAATCTGAAGTCCAAGCTGGGCATGATTGACATCTACCACCCAGCGTGAGGGAGAGTGTGGAAATCTAATCTTTATTATTACTTGATTGATTGACTTTATCTAGTTTAGTTAAGTCTCTTATTTTTAGAATAAGGAATGATTTGGGTAATTACACCAAATTCATTAGATATTTTCCTATTATGTATAGAGAGTAAATTACTCATTTGATTAGCTGTTTTAATGCATGAAAATCTTGGGTTTTAAGGTTGAGAATATTCAGTCTTTAGCCTATATATTTTCATGCAATTCTAGTATTGTAATATGAAAATTATAGAAAAATAAAATAGTTTTATTCTAGAGATTTCTTCATCCATATTGCCCTGCATGTGCTTCCCTCATTTTGTCCTTAATTTGGACTATCGCTGCCTTTTCTTGAATGCACTCTGATGGTTCTGTTATCATCAGTTAAGTATTATAGCCACTTATTTTGACTGTGGGGTATGGGACTGAAAATAACATAAAGCATCACTGATAGGTTTTTGGGAACTAACCCCTTAGAGGGTTGCATGGTGTACTAAAATTTTCTTTTAAAGCAGCATCCTATTGTTGGCATTTGATGAGGCCTAACCAACATAGTTTTGGGAAGTATCCTTAATTTTTCAGGTTCATGCAACTATTAGGCTACAATCTAATTCTGCTTGATGTCTCTTGCTTTGCTTTCAGAAATTTGTGATTTGCATTGGTTCTTTTCAAAGAATATGTTTAATTTCAAAAAATTTCACGCTGAATAGTAATTGCCACTTACCTGAGGTCAGAAAGAAATGCATCTGTCTATCGCTGGCACTCTTATGTTCTGCTATAATAGGATTTGGCTTTTTTCTTTTGCCCCCCTGGAAGTATATGGGTGCAGGTGCTTATCTATTCTTGTCAAGTTGCTCACATTCCTTTACATTATTGCAACTGTTTAGTATATCTTTAGCTCTTCTACAATGAATAAATGTCAATTGTAATTAGATAGATATTTAGTATATAAAAAAAGTCACAAAATCGCACTTTTATAGCTGTGTCCTTGTGTCTTGATCTTTCAAGTTTCAAGATTCAGGCCACGATCATGTTCAAACAAGACAAGCCTAGATCTGCAAATTACGTGTTTCAGTGTAACATAATCTATGGAAAATTTGATATTTTGTTGCCAGAATTGGAAACTGTAACACCATGAAAACCCTTGTCTTCAGAGGAATCCTTGGATTATGTTATTTGAAAAACACTGGTCTCAGGGATTAGGATATTTTTAATGAATTCTGACTGTATTGCAGGATGTTTGAAAATCGCGTTCCGCACATGTTGGACAATGACTATACCCCATACTCTGCTCTTGATATATTTGTGAAGGATCTGGTCAGATAATCAGTTGCTTGTGCAATCTTTTCAGTGGAAACAAATTATAGCTGTAGCTCTAGTTTGTTACTTTGCTGTAAGACTAAGTTCAATTGCTTACAGGGAATTGTTGCTCGTGAATGCTCAACCCGCAAAGTTCCACTCCAAATTTCAACTATTGCACACCAACTCTTTTTAGCAGGTAAACCATAATCTCCCTTATCCTGTGTAGCAGTTGTGGCTTTTTACCTTTCTCTTTTTACATTTTCTGGCCTGTGGAGACTTGTTTCATAACTTATACTAGCTTCTTGATTGCCTGTACATTTAAAATTCTCTTCAGTTTACCTGAAATAGCATAAAAGGCCAGAAGGGTCAGACCATATGAGCCTCATTACATTTCATAAATGTTTCTAGACCTCTTCAATGGTGTAGCATTCCAAATATGGGAAAAAGAAAGGAAAGATGTATTCAGGGAGAGGCAGGGACTTGCTCTTCGTGTTCTTTTTCTTTTTCCCATGTAATTTGACCAGGATTTGTCTTGTCACTTGAACTGGGTGAGTTTCATAGTGAGCTTAATTTAAAATGATAGCAGCTAAAATTTTTACCATCCAAAAATCTTACTTTCGAATAATGAGTTCTTTAAAAGGTATTATGCATTGGGAGCAAATTTAGAAAAAGTTAAAATGATTAAATAAAAAATTTTAAAAGGTTAACAGATTAAGAAAAAAAAAAAAAGTTAAGGGTATCAAGTAAAGATAAGTATGAAATCTGAAAAATCCCGAATAGACAATGTTAAAATTTTCGGAAAGCCATGGGCTTCAGAGTCCACCTATCTCTGTCCATGGTGAACAGCATTTGACTGTTAAAATTTTCCATATATATATTCATTATGCAATTTCATATAAGCAGCAAATGGTTTTCCATATTTATCCGTGCATGCTGTCTTTTCATTTTTGGTTCTCTTTCTGAGTTGTCTTCTGTACTATTAACACATACTGTTACTATTGTGAAGGATCTGCTGCTGGTTGGGGTCGGCAAGATGATGCTGGTGTGGTAAAGGTATGCATGACTGGTATCACTCCATTATTCTGAATTGTTAGAAATCACTGTTCAAGATTTTATTATATTTCAAGATAGCTAAGATCTAAAGTATATTTTAATGGTTAAATTCTCTACATACTCACTCAAAATGTCCGGTTTACTTCCCCTAAGTTGATTCAGTTAATCAGTCCTCATACTTCCAACTTGGAAGATTTGATCCATCAAATATAATTACTTTTTTGCTTATTGCCATCAAGTTTGGTGATGTGTCACTAATTTGTTCTTATTATTTTAATGATTAGTAAATTCCTTCTACACTCCCTGTAGTTTTAAGTTTTTCTAAATGGCATCCTGTGATTTTTTTTTTTCCAATTAGACACTCGTGATTAAGTTCTACTCCAAAGGTAGTTACCATATTAATTTCACCTAGTAAAATTGCCAAAATACCATTAATTCAAAAGTTACCTTATTTGTTTTTGACCATATTGACATTGTATCTGGCTTCGACAGGCTAGTTTTGTTCGATAATTGCTAGATGGCCTCACACGATAAAGATCAGGAGAGAAGAGGAAGAGAAGAGAGTGTAGGGAAGAAAGAAAAAAAAAGAAAAGAAAGGGAAAAAGATTTAAAATTTTTTTCATTTTTTAAAAATAAAAAGGTGTTGATTTGGATTTTCATTTTTTATATTTCAGAAAATAAAAAATTATTTTTAAATTTTTAGTTTTTTTATTTTTCAAAAATAGTTTAAAATTTAGTAAAGTAAGATGATTTTTTTTTTTTAAATTGGTTCTTTTATTTTTAAAAATAATTTCAAAGTTTCTATTTTTCAAAAAATGAAAAATTATTTTCCAATATTTAGCATGGTAGAAATGTATCTTCGACATGTACAATTGAAATGTCATGTTTTGGTTGGTTGATAGGCATGTCATCAGTTTTTGTTAATGGTGTTACGTGTTGGGTACATTGATACATAAAATGAAAGTTTAGGTATTATGTTGAACATTTTTTAATATTGGTGTCAAATTAGACTTTTTCTAAACTATAGAGGCCAAATGGAACATTATCCTATAAGTAAAATTAAGTTTTTTGCATTTGTCTTAAATTAACTAAATATGAACTATGGTTTTTAAAGTTATCACAAGACAAATATCAGCTGGTTATTGTGATTAGCAAGTTTTAGACATAACCAGCTTTCCTGATTCTGTAGGTCTATGAAACCCTCACTGGTGTTACAGTTGAAGGAAAACTTCCAGCTCTTAAGAAAGAAGTTGTCATGCAAAGTCTTCCACCTGAGTGGTCAGTGGATCCTATCAATGATATACACAGACTAAATCAGCAAAGCTCAAAAATACTAGTTGTTCTTGACGATGATCCAACTGGAACGCAAACGGTTCATGATGTTGAGGTATTAACTGAATGGTAAGTGTCATTCATTTTAATTATCTTACTCCTTAGCTATGAAGCATGGATATGCCTCAACCCACTGCTTATTTGTGTTGTGTCCATGTTGGAAATAGAAACCCATCCGATATGCTGGGATAAATGTTTGATACGGAAAACAAAGTGTCATTATTTTATTTAGATACTGCTGGACACACGGATTATCTTCAGAAATTTTGAATAAAGCTGGAAGAAAGGCGATAACACAGCTACCAATGAAGTAATGGTATTGGCAGCATCACCTTGGTCATAGGGTGTGGGAAAACACTTATTTACAGCTGGTTGTAATCTTGTAATCTGTATATTTATATTTGTATCTCTAGAATTATGTATTTGTATCCCTAGAATTAAGGGAGATTTAGTTTCCTGGTAATCCACTCCATAGGTTTGATTGTAGCCCTTAGCCACTAACCTGGCTTTATACCTTTCAACAGTACCATCTGCCTTGTATTTTACAGTGAAAACCCATTTACACCCGACTGGATTTTTTCCTTTAGGCAACTCTACCAGTTCCCATGTTTGATTTTTCTTTAAGGCTTCCATTTCTATTTTCATGGCTTGCCTCCATTTCTCACTAGATAATGCTTCGGATAATGTAGTTGGAACAGAAATAGTGTTTAGGCTCACAAGAAAATTTTTGTAGGATGGTGAAAATTTTTTAAATGACACAAAATTAGATATTGGGTATAGTGGATGCTTGGTACATTCTCTGGTTCCTTTCCTAATGGCAATAGGCAAATCGTAATCACTAGTTATAGTTTTAGGAGATTCATGCTCATTTTGAGAAATAGAGTCAAAAACTGTAGTTACCTCATTTTCAGAGTTAGGATCAGGTTCTTGGACTGGCACTGGTTTAGGATCTGGAACTTTTCTTCTTGAGTACACCTGTAATTCCTTCATAAAATTAAGAACAATATTATCCTTTGTCACATCTTCTGTATTTGGAATGGGTTCAGACTCAAATTCAGTGTTTGACTTGGGCTCAGCAGAAATAGGTTTCGACTCAAAAGAATTAATGGGTGTAAATGTTGAAGAAGGGGGTAAATCAAGCAAAAATAAGTCTTTATCCTTATCTTCCATAAATGAAGTCTCCCCCTGAAGATAAGGTTGAGTAAAAAATGGTTTATTTTCTTCAAAAGTGACATCTACAGACAAATAGAACTTTTTTGTAGGAGGATGATAGACTTATATTCTTTTTGATTGAAGAATACCCTACAAAAATACATTTTAATCGCTCTGGATCCAATTTCCCTTTTATGACTGTGCATATGAACAAATGATGTACAACCAATATCCTAGTGTTGAGATTGTTTTGGTATTAAGGTGGGATAAAATTGTGAGAGTAATTCCATAGGAGTTTTAAATCCAAAACTTTGAAGGTAACTATTTATAATTCAGTGAGAACAGAATTCCCCAATAAGATTAGGTACATTTGCTTGAAAAAGAAAGCTCGGATGGGCTAGAAAATGACTTTTTTTCTTGCTGCACCCATTTGCTGTGGAGTATTAACACAAGATGACTATGGATAATGCCTTTTGGAATAAGTGGATAGACTCTGGTTGAAGTAGTCTCTTGAATTATCAGACCTAAATCTCTTGATTCTCACTCCAAATTGATTCCTCAAATTGGGTGATAGTGATATCTTTCTTTGAAAGGGTTCGGCAATGAAGGCCTAAAAAAAAAAAAGGTCAGCAATGAAGGCTGAAAATTTTTCTTTCCAAAAAGAGCTTAAAGCTCTGATACCATGTGGAAACTGAATGTATATTGAAAAACTGCTTATCTTGAATTATACAAGAATCTTAGGTTTATATACAACTAACTAGGGGTTAAACTAGGAAACTAAATCTTCCTTAATTCTAGGGATACAAATACATAATTCTAGAGATACAAATATAAATATACAGATTACAAGATTACAACCAGCTGTAAATAAGTGTTTTTCCACATAAGGGTATGAGAAAAGTTGAGATTACAAAGAGGAATAGAAGAAAAGAAAGAGAGAGAAGGCTGGCCTGGGCTTCGCAATGGCCTTGCTTTTATAACACAAAATTGATCTGAGCCATCAGAGCAGAAAAGAGGAAGTAATGGGGGGGCTGATGGTTTTGAAATATAGTCTATGGTTTGGAAGAGGAGAAGGGTACTTGGGTAGTGACAAAAATAACTTATGGATTATGGGGCATATAATCTGCATCTAATTGATTTTCAATTTTATTGGCCCATAGCATTGATCTTAAGATATTTAAATACCCAAATTGAAGGTTAAGCTGCCCAATTATAAAAATATTTGCAAGGTAATTGAATCATGTCAAAGTATAATGTAAGATCTTTTATATTGATTTTATTTATTTTAAAAGAGTTTTTAGTGTCTGCTTGGTTAATATTAATAAAAATATACACGCATAAATATTCAGTATGGATACTTTTATTGCCATTTATACTGTTCCCATATCATAATTTTTCCAAAAATTTCTAGTCCATTGTGTTTGTATTCTTTAGCACCCATATCTTGTGTCCATATCCTTGCTTCCTAGTTTCTTAGTTAAACTAAAGGTCTAAAAACATTTACACATGCTACTTTCTAGCATATATAATTTATGTCCTAAAATCAAGCTTATCACTTGTTTCATGCTATGTAATTGTGATATTTCTAGGTTTTAACTACATTGTGTAGTTATATATCCTGTAGGCTGTATCATAGAACAATCTTGGCTTCTAGAAGGCTCTCCTTACCTTTTTTTGGTTATGTATTGTCATTTGCAGGAGTGTTGAATCGCTTGTTGAACTGTTTAGAAAAAGGCCTGTATGCTTCTTCATTCTAACTAATTCCCGATCACTAAGCTCTGAGAAGGTAAAGAGTTTTCTTCAAATGTCAAGTTATTTGATCGCTAATCTCATTTTTCATTGTCATAGAAAGATGGATTTTTATTGGAAATTTATTATCAACCAAATTAAATTTCTCTAAACTTGTTTCTTGTCTGAGTACAGATTTTACATTTTGCAGGCAACTGCATTAATCAAAGATATATGCAGCAATCTTTATACAGCAGCTAAAACAGTTGAGCATATTGATTACACAGTGGTTTTGAGAGGTGATTCGACATTACGAGGTCATTTTCCAGAGGCAAGTACATAAAGTTTGAGAATTTATCACAAGTGTAGAAAACTTAGAGAACAATTGTCTTTTTCTCTTCTTATATTTCTAGAATGAAGGAGTACGTTGAAATAAATAGGAACAGTGATGTTCCTTATTGGGAAACAACTTACATAAACAGAAAACAAAGATAATAAAAAGAAAGAGAATTATTCTAATCTAAAATAGAAACAATTATTCTAATCTATAATAGAAACAATTATTCTAATCTATAATAGAAACAAATCTCTAAAAACTTGACAATTAGAATAGTTGACTAAATCAGAGGAATAAATACGAAATATTCCCAAGATAAATTAGGAAACCAAGCTGCACTAATGTGGGAGAATCGGATTTCTACACTTCCCCTCAAGTTGGGTTATGAATGTTAATCATACCTAGCTTGGACTTCAATTGGTCAAAGATGCTTCTAGGAAGAGCTTTAGTTAGAACATCTGCAATTTGAGAACTTGTAGGGATATAGGCCAGTTTGACCGACTCATTTTCTATCTTTTCCTTTATGAAATGTCAATCTAGCTCTGTGTGCTTGGTCCTATTAGGATAGACAGGATTTTTGACAATACTTATAGTAGCCTTATTGTCACAAAATAGTGTCATAGATGTCAATCTGAACTTTTAATTCTCCAAGTAACCTCATCAGCCAAATTCTTTCATGAATACCATGAGACATTACTTTAAACTCAGCTTCAGTACTGCTCCTAGCTACAACAGCTTGCTTTTTACTTTGCCAAGTGACCAAATTGCCCCAAATATTAGTGCAATATCCTGTAGTAGACCTTTTATTTGTTACCGATCTAGAGCATCCGTGTACACCTCGATTGCCCTATCTATTGACTTTTTAAAGTATAGACCTTCACCGGGACTTTTTTTTAAGTACTATGGGATGCGATGAACAGCCTTGAGGTGCTCTTTGGTTAGATTATTCATGTATCTACTCACCATCCCTACTACAAACCTGATGCCAGGTCTTGTGTGGGAGAGGTAAATATGCTCCCCAACTAGTCTTTGGTATCGCCCTTTGTCTGTGAGAGAGAGCCTCCATTTTCACTTCCAATTTTATTAGTCGAGTCCATGGGTGTATTGATAGGTTTGCATCCAATCATACCGGTTTCTTTGAGTAGATCAAATACATACTTACGTTGTGACAGTGATATTCCATTCTTAAACCAAGCCATTTCCATCCCAAGGAAATATTTAAGGAACCCCACGTCTTTTATTTGAAACTCCTTTGCAAGGAGTTTTTTCAAATCATCTATTCCTTCATTGTGGTCTCTAGTGATTATGATATCATCCACCTAAACAATAAGAATGACTCTTTTTCCTTCAGTAGTAAACTTAACAAACATAGTATGGCCAGATTGACATTGAAGGAATCCATACCATTTCATTGACTTCGTCAGTCGTTCAAACCAAGCTTGAGGAGGCTGTTTAAGTCCATATAAAGATTTTCGAAGTTTGCACACTTTGCCCATTCTATCTTGCCCTTCAAAACCAGGGGGAATTCCATGTAGACATCCTCCTCCAAGTCACCATTTAAGAATGCATTCTTGATGTCAAGTTGGTGGAGAGGCCAATCCAAGTTCATTGCTAGTGACAATAGAACTCTGATTGAATTGAGTTTGGCTATTGGAGCAAATGTCTTATAATAGTCTATCCTATAGGATTTAGAGAACTCCTTTGCAACAAGTCTAGCTTTGAACCTATTTATACTTCCATCTGCGTTGTGCTTTATTGTGAAGATCCACTTACATCTAACTGGATTTTTCCCTTTGGGCAAATCTGAAATTTCCCATGTCCCATTCTTTTCTAGTGCTTTGATTTCCTCAAGAACTATTGTCTTCCAACTTGGTTCATTGAGGGCTTCTTGAATATTTTTTGGAATTTGCATATTGTCAAGGTTAGCAGTATAGGCTCGAAAGTTTGGATTTAACCTTTCATATGACATGTACTTGATAGGGTATTGGGTGCATGATATCACACCCTTTCTTAATGCAATAGGAATGTTAAGGTCACCAACTAGCTCACAAGTTTCAGTTTCAGATTCAATAGGGACATTACCTATGTTAGTTTTAGGTTCTTGGTGACTCGAATTGAGTTGATTTTTATTGCTTGGCTGTGTAAAATTGTCCATTTCTTCCTGCATTTTTTGCTTCCGTAAGTAGACTATTAGTTCTTCTGTTTCCTCTTGCATAACCTTAGGGTTTAAATAGTCAAGACTTGTGTGAATAGGTTGGGTTTCGGAATCTGCATGGCTGATAGGTTGGGTAGGTTGAGAATTTGATTTTGAAGGGGTTGGTTGGGAAGTTGGCAAGTCAATAGCTAATAATTGATATTCTTGAGTAGTATCTACCCCTGAATATCATTCTTGCTGTAGTATGGAGGATTCTCAAAGAAGGTGATATCCATCAAACTATAGAACCTTTTTGTGACGGGTGAATAACACCTATAGTCCTTTTGGTTTGGGGAATAACCAAGGAATATGCATTTTAAGGCTTTGGGATTAAGCTTATTGCAGTTTTATTGGCTGATATGAACAAAGGTGATGTAGCGAAAGAGTTTGATGGGAATGGAAGAGATTAACCGAGTTTGAGGGCAGGAGGCAAGGAGAGTTTGACAAGGTGTTTTAAAGCCAAGAACTTGAGAAGGCATTCGATTAACCAAATAAGTTTCAGTGAGGATTGCTTCTCCCAAAAAATGTTTAGGCATATTGGAAGTCAACAAGAAGGATCTGATCACTTCTATCAAATGTTTGTTTTTGTGTTCGACAACCCCATTTTGCTGTGGAGTGTCAACACAAGAGCTTTGATGAATAATGCCATGATTGATGAGGTAAGGGCCGAGAATAGAGTTGAAGCATTTACCTCTCATTGTCAGTTTTTAGGACTTGGATTTTGGCTTGGAATTTGGTTTGCACCATGCCATTGAAATTTAGAAAGATCTGGCCATCCTCATATTTTCCTTTCATAAGGAATACCTAAAAGAGTTGAGTATGATTATCGATGAATGTAGTGAACCACCTAGAACCTATGATATTGTTAATTCTTGGAGAGTGCCCAAATGTCACTATGAATCATTGAGAAGGGCTGAGATGATTAATAAGAAAGGCTAAGGTAGGTATTTCGAGTGTGCTTGGAAAGTTCACATATTTCATACTGAAAATCTTTAGAGACCTTCTTGAATAATGAGGGAAACAATCTTTTTAGGTACAAAATATTTGGATGTCCTAATCTATAATGCCATAACATGACAGGTCATCCTTATTGGTACTAGATGTTAAGGCTATACAAGAGTATTGTGGTCTCTTAAGTGCATCTTGAAGAAGGTAGAGCCTTGCACACATCTTAGCACTGCCAATTATCCTCCCCGAGCCCAATTCTTGAAATTCACACAAGTTGGGAAAAAATTTAGTGACACAACATCTATTCTTTGTAAGCTTACTGATAGAAAGTATGTTATAGCTTAAATTAGGGACTTGGAGGATAGAGTCAAGTGTTATGTCTTTCGAAACTACAATAGAACCTGTTCCTGCCAACTTTGAGAGAGAGCCATCAGCAATTTTTGCAGTAGAACTATCATAGCGAGGTCTGTATGTGTTGAATAAGGATGCATCTCCAATCATGTGATCTGATGCTCTTGAATCAACAATCCAAGATTTTGTATTTCCTCATTGAACACTTAAGGTGTTTAGGAAATTACCTTTTTGTGCTAGGGAACTGGTTCCAAAGGTTGTAGAGTTGTTTTGAAGGGTTTGTTGGGGCATTTTCTGCAAGATTTTCAGTTGTTCCTTGCTGAAGGGACTCAGTTCTATTTGTGGTTGAGGTTTGATGGCTGCCAATGTTTCCTCGTCCATTTATTTCTCATGCAGGTTTCTAGTTGGGAGGCTTCCCATGGATCCTCCAACAGGTGTCTTTGGTGTGTCCCACCTTCCGGCAATGTTCACAGACGGGTTTCTTTTTGGAGTTGTTATCACCCCCTTTGTTGGCTTGAGATCTGTGAGTTTGGAGTTTTGTGAAGTGTTTGGGGAGTTTTGTATTCCCGGCATCACCTTTTTGCAACTTTCCTCAAGACGTACCTCTAGAAAAACATCCCAAATCCTAGGGAGAGGTTTTATGCTGAGAATCCTTCCTTAACATCATTGAGTTCCTTGTTAAGCCCAAGTAAAAACTTGTTAACTCTGTCCTTCTCAACGATTTTATTGTATTGCTTGCTGTCATCTGGACATTTCCATTCCTGTTCATTGAGGATGTCCAACTGCTGCCAATGGCACATTAGGGTGTTGTAGCATTCTGTTACAGAGAGCTCATCTTGCTGAGGGTCATGGAGTGTGCTCTTAACTCCATATATCTCTGAAGTATTATCCACATTCGAGTAGGTCTTCCTTACTGTGTACCAGATCTCCTTTGCTGTCTTGTACTACATAAAATTTTTGCTGATATCATTTGTCATGGAATTTATTAGCCATGACATCACCATGCCGTTCTCTAGCTTCCAAACTTTGAAATTAGGGTCATTTTCCCGAGGAGACATTGCAGCTCCAGTGAGATAATCTTCCTTGCGTTTTCCACATACAAACATCATCACGGACTGTGACCATTGAATGAAGTTTTGACTGTTGAGTTTGTGTCCAGTGATCTGAAGGATTGGTCCTTCAGGAACACTGGGAATAGCAGCAGAAGTTATTCCTCCAAGTGTTGATGTGACCTCTGAGGAGTTTTCACTCCTGCTAGCCAGGATGGAAACTTGCGTGGCTACAGTCTAATGGTTTTGGCCAACTTGCTCTGATACCATGTAGAAAACTTAGAGAAGAATTATCTTTTTCTCTTTTATATTTCTAGAATGAAGGAGTAAATTGGAACAAATAGGAGCAGTCATGTTGCTTATTAGGAAAGAACTTACATGAAATAGTAAACAAAGATAATAAAAGGAAAGAGAATTATTCTAATCTAAAATAGAAACAAATCCCTAAAAACTTGACAATCAAAATAGTTGACTAAATCAGAGGAACAAAGGAGAAATATTCCCAAGATAAATTAGGAAGCCAAGCTGTACTAATGTAGGAGAATCGTATTTCTACAACAAGTACAAACAGAAAAGTTGCACTAACATGTCCAGCCACATGATAACACAAGCTGTCTAACATCTCTAGCCATGTAATGCAGGAGCCAGATGCAGCTGTTTCAGTACTAGGTCAGGTGGATGCATGGATCCTTTGCCCCTTCTTTCTCCAAGGAGGCCGCTATACCATTGAAGATATGCACTATGTTGCAGATTCTGATTGGTATCAGCTTTCTCTTGATTATACCTAAATACAAATGGGTTTCTTTTATCTGCTTCCCTCCCACACACACACACATACAGAGACCAGAATAAGAAGAAAGGAATGACAAAAAGGAAAAAATTGTTTTCTGATATCTAGCACTCATTGGATCATATTGGCTGCAGGCTTGTTCCTGCAGGAGACACAGAGTTTGCTAAAGATGCCGCCTTTGGCTATAAATCTTCAAACCTTCGAGAGGTCTGGCTTTTCCTTTTATCTACCTGAATTACATGCCTGTTTATATGTTTTTTCAAAAGATATCTGAATTTACGACTTCCTTCACTTAAATGTATTAGTGGGTGGAGGAGAAAACAGCAGGACGCATTCCAGCTAGCAGTGTTGCATCCATTTCTCTCCAACTTTTAAGAAAAGGTGGACCAGATGCAGTTTGTGAGCATCTTTGCAGTTTAGAGAAGGTACTGTATGTGGGTGTGTGTTTGTGTGCATTTGTGCCACTCTTAATGAGCATGTGCATGCAAATCCTCATGGATGGACATCTGTTTGTTTGCTTGACCCCATGTGTGTATGGACTTGTAAGTTGGTGCAAAACTATGGTTCAATTGTTTACCTCTTTTGTCATTTTTCAAGTTAGATGTGCCTACTTAATGATTTAACTTTATTGATGGCCATACATATTATGACCTTTGACTTTCACCTACTTGAATCTTGTGCAAACACTAAAATATGTCATGCTAATACAGTACAATTGCTGAAAAGTCAACATTGTTGATAACTGCCTCCAACTCTGTACGTGGACAAACTTCAGCTGGTTCTCATCATTTTATGCCAGACGCTATTGAGGGTTGGGGTAGTGTTGAACTAATTAGTGGAGGAGGAAAGAGGCCTAGGTAATCCTTAACATTCCTAAGTACTGTGGTAGATGGGAGAGAATGCTGCATGAGGTACAGGGGTACCTAGGTAGCTCCTTGATTGTATTACATGCTCCTCAGGTAATGACTTGGTAGCACTAGTACTCCAGTTAGAAGTTAGAGGTGTAAGGGGTTCATTGATTTGTTGCTTTGTGAAGAGGCTAGCTTATAGAGTGTCCTGACTGGTAGTAAGGAGGGGTTGATCAGGAGGTTAGAGAAAGAAAAGCTTTGGGTTGCAATGGAGAGAGAGAGAGAGAGAGAGAGAGAGAGAGGCATAAATTAGGTTAGAGGAACAACCAATGCATCAAATTGGTGATGATTGGCTATCATGAGGTAATGAAGGGAATGCTGAAGTGATATGGGAGGTGGTTTAATGTTTCATTGAAGAATTTGGTGCCAAGCATCAACTATAACACTTATATGGGTACTCAAATATTCTAAGAATTGTTAAAAGGGAATTCCCTTAACTGGCAAGCCTAGGTATTTGGGATTAATTCAGGGATGTTACCACAAATCTTGATGTCACTTGCATTAAGTTGCTCAATATTTGGCCATGTGTGAGGTCCATAATAATAATAATAATAATAACAACTAAATCAATGTAATTACATAAGTACACACTCAGTTTAAAAGCTTGGTTTGTAGTTCTTGTAAGCGAAGAACTACCTGTTTGTTTTTCGTTTCTTTTATTGATAAAACTTTTACCATGCCAAATTATGTTTTTGAAGTTGTTTGAAATAGATGTTGATTTCACAATTTACATGTTTATGCTTCACAGATTTGTTTCATTATTCTTTAAAAATAAACCAGTGTTAATTTATTTGAGTTAACACATTATAAGGAAATAATTATCCATGAAGGTATAATGAATTCCTTATACGAAATAAGGAGATAGTTACTATTATTAATGTGATATTAGAGAGGGTGAGTGCTAGTCCACAAGTGACCATTATCCATTCTATTTGTATTCAATGGTCTGAATGCTTGATTTTCCTCAATTTTTCACGTGAGGAAATTTGTGCATAAAAGAAATTATGAATAGAAAAGAATAAAAGAAAGAGGAAAGATTGATCTCTCTCTCATTTTTTGAAGGAAAAGTCAAGAAGTTGAAATGATGCCTGAATAGGGACAGAAAATGTAATATTAATATGGAAAGAGTAAATGATTTAACAAATTGAGATGCCCTTCAAATAATCCAAACTTTTTTCTTTCATTTGTCTAGAAGTTTGATTTTCATGGCTCAATTTGTGAACTCCTGAAGCTATGGATTTATGGGAATACTAGGAAAACCTTGAAGGATGTACTAGTTTCCCTCTATTCCACACCTTATGGAGTATTTTTGGGTCAATTTAAACAAATTGTTACTGTTGCTTTCTAATTAATTGATCTTACTACATTTGATATACACAAGTTTAATATTCAAATACAAGGATTTAGTACTTAGTAAATGCTTGCTCTTTTGAAATGTCAATGATAAGCCTGGTAGTGTTTTCTGGTATCAAATTATACAAGGACGAAACTGTATTTGTAACTAGAATAACCTTCAATACTTTATATTGCATCATTTTCAATGCATCCCATACCTTTTTGTTAAAGCTTCTTTTGTATTGATACTGCTGGCTGGATTTCTATAGAGAATTTCATGATTAGATACAAAATATTCACCATATTTTCATTTATTGCTGAAGCAGGGGTCAATATGCATAGTAAATGCAGCTAGTGAAAGAGACATGGCTGTATTTGCTGCTGGAATGATCCAGGCAAGATACTGCAAATCACATGGTTTTCATTGTAGTTATTATTTTTTGGAACATGTTGATAAAGATTTTGAGAGGTTTGGCTTATAAGCTTAAACTCAATTTGACAGGCAGAACTGAAGGGGAAGTCTTTTTTATGCCGTACTGCTGCCAGCTTTGTTTCTGCCCGCATTGGAATTATCCCCAAAGCACGAATCCTCCCAAAGGATCAGGGAATAAATAAAGAAAGAAGTGGTGGACTAATTGTTGTGGGTTCATATGTTCCAAAAACAACAAAACAGGTTGAGAGTTGGTGAATTTTAAAAGTTTATTGTCATTCTATTTTGGTTAAAATACAACATAAGCCATTGTACGTAATTAAGTTTATTATATGAGCCCCTATCTTATTATTGCAATAAATTAAATCTTTAATTGATATTTGGATAAGAACTTTAACACCATTAACTCTTTTTGCCAACTGGGATAGAATTCTATTTGGTATGAATGACGTCAACATGGCATTTTCTATGCAAATGTCAAAATAAAAAAAAATGGTTGTTTTAAAGGCTTGTGCCAAATATAAAAAAAGACCCTTTTTTTTTAATTTTTCATACATGCCTATCTCTTGACAATATTTATTCCACATTAATGATGCCTCATGACAATGCTAGCCAGGTTGGCAAAAAGGGTTAATGGTGTTGAATTTCCCATCACATAATGACTGAATTGACTGTAAATAATTGATTAGGGGCTCAATTTATTGCAGTAAAAGGATGAGGTTCATGTGATAGATTTAATTATGTATTTTTGCCTTCTATTTTCTAAGTTAATGTGCTCTTGATTATATTTCTTTCATGATCCTCAGGTTGAAGAGCTTCAGTCACAATATGGACATATGTTAAAAAGCATTGAGGTGATCAGTATTCATATTATATATTGTTGTTTTGTACTTTAGGCTTAAATAGGGCAATTTTGACACCAAAAATATGAGAAATGGCCACAAAATTTTCAATCTGCCCTCTGTATTATTGGTTTGCACTAGGTACTAAGTTTTCATTCTCTGTGGTGAACAGGTTTCTGTTCATAAAGTTGCTATTGAGTCATCAGAAGAGAGGGAGGAGGAAATTAATAGAACTGCTGAGATGGCATCTGTTTTTCTTGCAGCTCGTAAAGATACTCTTATAATGAGCAGCAGAGAACTCATCTCTGGAAAAAGTTGGTCTCTTCTTTAATTTTTCTTGGGAAATCCTCACTAACTACTCAAGCCCTCATGCATGCATAAAAAACTAAATGTTGATTGTTTGAATGATACAGAAATTATTGCAATTATTTTGTTTCTACAAAAGGTAAATTCTCCTTTTTTATTTATTGAAATGGCAATTGTTTTACCGTGCTTTTGATAGCTGCTTCTGAGAGTTTAGAGATCAACTTCAAAGTGAGCTCTGCACTGGTTGAAGTAGTTAGGAGGATAACTACAAGACCTCGTTACATTCTTGCCAAGGTACTTTAGTTTTATAAATGACTTAAGTATTCCTTGGTTATAATTTTCAGTTATTGCATAGCTGATATGTCCGTTGGAAGCCATGTACTACCATCTGAAGGAAAGTTATCCATCAAATTTTATTTTGCTTTTATAACAACTTTGTGCTGTAATTTCCATCATCAGCTGCTGTCTTTCATTCTTTGGGAATCGAAGATGACTGTATTTGCTAACATGCCATGTTTCGCTAATACTTTCATTGGAATAATGTTGACATAATTGATATTTTAGATCAACTAAATTGATAACTATGTGCTCAGTGATTATACTATTTCTCCATGTTTACAGCAAAAAAATTTTGGCTAGAATCTTTTATCATAAAGAAAATGGGATACCTGCCAGCTTTGAGTAGCATGTGAGAGAGATTATTTGAAACTGGTTCCATTTCAAATATAACAAACTTACAGCATACATGTGTCCCAAAGATAAATTGGAAGCCTCAAAAAAGTTGTTTAAAGGGAAGTTGTTACTGTCTTAAGTTCTTCAAAGCAGCTCTTGACATTTACTTTTCATCTTTCTGCATATTTTGGTTCATTTTGTTATTGTAGGTTTCATTTGAAGTGATAGTTAACTTGTATCATCTGTAGAAGATTTTAATGATGGATGCCCTTTCATTCATATCAGTACAATGAAATGCTTTTTGATAATGGATCTTCATGTTTATTTATGTTATTCTACTGTTTATTACCAATTGAGAGAAATTATTCAACTGTATTGACAGAATATAATGGTCTAACCTTTCTGTTTTAGGGTGGAATCACCTCATCAGACCTTGCTACAAAAGCTCTGGAAGCAAAACGTGCCAAAGTGGTAGGGCAAGCCCTAGCTGGAATCCCTTTGTGGGAGCTGGGCTCTGAAAGTAGACATCCAGGAGTTCCATACATTGTTTTCCCAGGTAAATTCTGAGTTTTGTTTCATCTGTTTTAACAGATTCTGTTAAAAGCAAAAAATTGAACCTAATTCTAGTGAAATTACCTTTCTTAGGTAATGTTGGTGACAGCAAAGCACTGGTGGAAGTAGTGAGATCTTGGGCTCACCCTATCAGACTTTCTTCGACGAAAGAGATCCTTCTTGTAAGTATGTTTTATAGATTTTGTGTTTTACTATTTTTTAAAAAATTTTTCCTCAGATACAATGTTTTTCTGGTTAAAGAATGCAGAAAGCGGTGGCTATGCTGTTGGAGCCTTCAATGTCTATAACATGGAGGGAGTTGAGGCAGTAGTAGCAGCTGCAGAGCAAGAAGATAGCCCAGCTATTTTACAGGTATGAAGCTGGTTTTTTAGAAATTACTTGAAAATCTTGACACAAACAAGACTTGATATCAGTTTTCTCTTACAGCATATATTGACTTCTAAACATCTGTGAGTTTCAAACTTGGATTCAGCTATTTGTTGTCCAACAAGTAACCTCTGAGGCCTGATGCTAAATAGCATACATATGTCGAAACAAGTAACCCCTGAATCTTGAGACCTGATATGGCATGCATACGTTCAACAAGTAAAATTGGACCCTGTTGTTTGCAGTATCCTATGGTATTGGTATAATTAATTGAAGAGATGCAAATTGAGTTATTATAGCTGATAATGGGATAGAGAAGACCTTACTAGAAAACGACAAACATGTGCCAAGCCCAAGCCCAGCATGGCCCTGATTTATCTTCATCTAGTGTAGATTTTGCATTTGTAGCAAAGATACGGAAAATAAGAAAATGGAATACCCTTGTCAACTCGAGGTAGCAGGATATGAACTTTGTTTAACATTATATTACCTGTGAATTTTGATCATCTTGGGCTTTCTTGGTGGTATGACAGAAAAGAGGAAGAATGGAAAATTTTTAATCCACTGGTCAAGTTCCATAACCACCTTTCCATTGTTAGAATATTTATTTTCTTAAAATGTTTTCCATCTTCCTCGTTTGCATCCTACCAAGCAAAGCCTTAGTGTGCCCCTTCACCACCATATCCCATAGGCTCACCATCTATAATTTGTTGCCACCTATTTCATTTCTCTTTATCTCTTTCTTTTCTTTTTGTTTCTTTTTTTTTTTCTTGCAATTTTTTTGTCTTATTGAGAATGTATAATTGTTTGGTTTGTTTATGTAAGAAATCAGAGCATGCTTTTTTCTTATAAAGGAAAATCTTCTAAACTCCAATCATATAATGTGTTTCTGAAAATTGATTTGGGAATTGCTTTTTTTCTTTCTTTAGACACAATTCCAGAAAATTTTCTAATTTACCCATTTCTTTCAAGGTTCATCCTGGTGCCTTTAAGCAAGGAGGGATTTCCATGGTTGCATGTTGTATATCTGCTGCAGAACAGGCCAGTGTAAGTGGCACTTCATTTACTGAGGCAAAAGGGAAAAAAAATGGAATAAACTGCAAATTTAATTGTAAATCATGCATTCAAAAGTTTATCTTCCTTTTCTTGGTGTTTTGTGGTTGTCAACTTTTTCTGCTAAACTCTGTTTTGTTTCTCCTAGTAATAGTAGCAATGGACATCTAGTTTGGATTCACTGGGATGTCTACTTTGTTTCTTTCAGTTTCTTGTTATGCTAAATTTTGAGTTGGTAAACCCCTATTAGAGACTGCCAATATACATACACACACATATAGGCACAACTTGATGCTTTCATTTTTATCTTGTTATTCTTCAATTTCACCTATTGGTGAGATAGAGAATATCTGGATTTTTAGATGTTACTTGTTACTTTTTCTTTTTATTTGGAGATGGGGCGGGGGGGATTCAAACCCAGCCCTTTGAGCAGGGTGATACATTGTACCTACCATTGAGCTAAATGCTCAAGGTGAAGATGTCACTTCTTACTTGTGGAAGTAATATACAATACATCTTCTGGAGGTTGTTTTTAGCACTACATAGGACTTTGTAAGAAATTATCTCCTGGAAGATTAAAGTTATTGGAAACAACATTATACAATTATTCAGGTTCTGACTTCAGGAAACAGAAAAAACAAAAAAATGGAATTTATATAAATGCATATATGGCAGGTTCCCATCACTGTTCACTTTGACCATGGTACTTCAAAGAAAGAACTGTTGGAATCTCTTGAGCTGGTAAGTTAGCTTGCTTTTACCTAAGTTGTATATAATCAGTATACCAAATTGAAAACATGAATTAAAACCATAATTTAATTGATTGTCGAATGGTAATTCTAGTTCTAGTTTGTTTATGAAATGGCATTTTTTTACCACTGCAAGGGCTTCGATTCAGTAATGGTGGATGGTTCACATCTTCCCTTCAAGGATAATATCTCATACACAAAGTACATATCAAACTTGGCCCACTCGAAGGGTATGCTTGTCGAGGCAGAACTTGGAAGATTGTCAGGAACAGAAGATGATTTGACTGTTGAAGACTATGAAGCAAGGCTTACCGATGTTAATCAGGTCACTGTGCTTAATCAGATTAAAAATGCTTTACTATCATTTTTTAATTGCTCATGGCATAGTTCACCTCGTGAATTTCAGGCTCAAGAATTCATAGATGAGACTGGCATAGATGCCTTGGCAGTATGCATTGGGAATGTACATGGAAAATACCCGGCAACTGGCCCAAATCTCAAATTTGATTTGCTTGAGGTCCAGTATACATAATCATGATTTTCTACTGTAGCTTATTTTATCAACGTTCAGTGGACTGCTGGCTCACCTTTAGCCATTGTGTTGAATTCTGTCTTAGTAGTGGCAGGCTGCATTTACTTGAGGAGTATTTATGCTGTTCTATGCTAAATTCTGGTTGATGATAGATGCCATTTTAAATGTTTCTGCTAAATTACTGTATGTTAGAGAGACCATGGTGCATGCTTGTACCTTCAACTGATAAATTTACCTAGATCTGAATGATGCTTTTCACATGGAATTCTCTGAACATGGCTAGCAAAATTAGACTCAAGATGGTTCTTTTCTATGTGTACTTGTATTTTCTAGAGAGGTTTGATTGAAACATAATCTCATGGCGATGCCTTGTATTGCACTTGATAGATGCTTACACATTGCACTTGTTAGATGCTTATAGATTGTTATCCATTTATATTAATTTCTGTAAATCTGCCTTGAACGTCGTGAATATAAATCCAAGCTACTTCTTGTGTTATCTTTTCTTGGTGAGGGAAAGGGCTGATAGAAGATCCAAAAAATTCATGGTTATTTAGAAGCTAAACTGCATATTCTTTTTGTTCCTTTGATTACTAGATCTTGGTTTTACAGTATTTTAGGCAAAATAACATTTTAATTAATCCATCCCTTGATAAATCCTCGGCAGCTGAGGCATAGATTCTAACTTTTCCTCTTTGTTCAGGATCTATATGCCCTAAGTTCAAAGAAAGGAGTTCTTCTTGTGCTTCATGGAGCATCTGGTTTGTCCAAGGAACTTGTGAAGGTATCTACTTTCTCTATGGGGTTATTCATAATATGACATTTGAAGTATTGCATATATTTAATGCATGATATTATTATACTAGAAAAAGTCTAAAGCAATGATAAATAGATCAATTTGAGGCTGATGGATTAACCTTGTTAAATTTCTTGATTACTTGGACAGGGTTGCATAGAGCGTGGTGTGAGGAAGTTCAATGTCAACACTGAGGTACGGAAAGCATACATGGACTCACTGAGCAGCCCCAAGGGAGATCTGGTGCATGTAATGGCATCTGCCAAAGAAGCCATGAAAGCCGTGGTTGCAGAGAAGATGCGTCTATTTGGTTCTGCTGGAAAAGCATGATGGTCTCTGGTTTCAACTGTCTCCCTGCAAAATAATTATAGCAAGAGTTAGTTATATTTTACAGGGAAAGGCTATTAACACACATTGCAGGAACCGGAAGTTTTTTCCTTAATTAGGGTAGTTTAAAATCTTTATTTTCAAAATATGATACTTCTAAACTTATTTTTATACGCAAGGTCTTTTAGCCCAAGATGCCATGTCATTCTTTTTTAAGGAAAATAACATTTTAGAAATTTTTAAAAGATAAAAGAGTCATTTGGTATTGTTTTCATTTTGTGTTATATATTTTTGTTGTATTTGTCTTAAAAACAAAAATAAAAATTGAAATAAAAAATTTGAAACTACAAAAATGATGTTTTCAAAATTTTGAAAACATTTTTCGTATTATTATTGCATGGTACTGTTTATTTGATCAGTTACGGCGTAGTTTAAAATTTAATGCTTGAAAATTAAAAAAAAAAAAATTGATTTGTTACTGAAAGGATTGGAACTCGTAAGACCTTATAATTTAAAACTTTAATCATTTTCTCTTGTTTGTTTGTATTTTTAAATTTTCACAACAAAACATTCTATCCAAATATTTTCAAATTCAATAAAATTAAAAACAATAAAATAAAAATAAAATCAAATAAAAAAAATCAAAAACATAAAACACAATAGCCAGAACCCCCTATGATTTAAAAATATGATTTGATTGGATAATTAATTATTAATTGATAAAACAAAGAAGAAAAGGAGATGAAATTATGTGGCATTAAGAATAGGGAAAGTGACGTAAGACCTTCCAACACTTGGGAAAGTGTTTTTACTTACAAACGGCAAACAAAACAAAGTTGCCGAATGCTCTGAAGACCAAAAAAACAAAAAAAAAATCAATCAATGGCAGACCAGCCGCAGGTCTTTGAACTCAACAATGGAACCATGCAAAGGCCACCAACTATGGCTGCACTATCACCTCATTGTTTGTTCCTGACAAAAACGGTATCTCCATTCATATCTTCTCTCTCTTTTTTTTTTTTTTTTTGGGGGGGGGGGGGGATAAATCCAATCATTATTCAAAAATTTTTTTTTTTCCTGAATGCTAAATTATTAATGAGCAATGGGTTTTTCTTGGCTTTAAAGGTCAATTAGCTGATGTCGTCCGGGGATTTGACACTGTCGAACCATACGTGGTAAATTCTGTCTCTCTTTATTTTTTAAATTCCGAAGCATTTGATTTTGATCGTAATCTTGTATAATGAATTGGATTTTGTTTTCTTTTTCTTGGGATAAATAAAAGAACCCATTTAGTTCATGCTATATTCAATAAACATTGTTGGCAAAATCATTTGACTTTTTTTTTTTTTTTTTCAAAATCATGTTTGGAATTTTAAACAGACAATGATTCACTTCTGGATTTATTGATCTCTTACTAATGAAAGAAAATTTTGAGCTATGGGAAGTAGGACGTAATTTGTGTGAAAAATTGAGGTAGCTCTTTTTAATCTCTTTCATTTAGTGAATTGGTTTTTGGTTGGTCTATTTAATATGTTTTGGGTTGATAAAAATGTGATCAGCAAGGTGATGCACCTTTTTTTGCCTGCATTGTGGGAAGGGTGGCAAACAGGATCAAAGATGGCAAGCTTACTCTTAATGGAGTTCAATAGTCTTTGCCTATCAACAAGCCCCCAAATAGTCTCCACGGTATATAACTGTCTCTTTTCTTTTCCCTCAATCCTGTTCTATTTCTGCTGCTTAGTTTCCTTGTTACTTCCATTGTTCATTATGGTCAGGTAAATGGCAGTTTCTCTGTGATTCAAATTGTTATATCTAGGGATGATAAGGAACTTTCATTATCCTATTCAGATTCTTATGTTGTTCCTTAATAGTTACCATCAACTCTGAATAATAAAAGACTTTTGTCATAATTTTGGATGATCAGAATGAGACTGCAGTAACTAGGTGAAAACTAATTTTCAGCATGCGTCAATTGGTTGTTGACAGGTGATGCGACATATATATTTATGTTTTTCATTTTATATGTTTTAAACTGTATGAGAGAAAAACATCTATTAATTTGGCTTGGTGAATTAATTTTGCATTTCTTCTTTTCTTCCCCTGTACGATTTCTTTCTTATAACAAAAACCTAACCTCATAATACTTTATTTTGTAAATATAAAATTCAACAAGATATTTTATTTTAGATATTACCTTTTTATTTTGACCTCTTCTGTTTTCATACAGATGATAAAGCTTCTGTGAATAATAGAGCAAATTACTACTACTGTTGCACATAATGATATAAAACCTGATGAATTTCTAGAAAAGGAAAAATAAAAAAGAAAATGGAAAGAAAAAAAATGTTGAACAGAAATGCTTTTCCTTTGCTTCTGATTTGTTAAAGTATTTCTGTTTTGAACTTTTGAGGGCTTGCATGAATTGGAAGAGTTCATCCTAACTCTTGTTTGTCCAATCATTTGCTAAGCAGATATACATCTTCTTTAGGTAGAGCAAATGACAGAAGTAAAATAGAGAGAGCAAATTTAGAACAGCCAACTCAACTCTCCAACGTTTGTTTGTTGGCTGTCAGAGGGAGCATTATATCCACATACAATAATTTTAGCTTTCACTGGTAATGAATAGTTTTGCTGTAGATTGTCTGACTCTGACACCAATTTCAGATGTACTAGTTTCCCGATGTTTAGTGTTTTTAATTCGATTAAGATAGAAAGTATGATTTCTTCTATTCTCTTGTAAGAATTGAAGGCTTTTTGATTGGGTGAGTTCAAAGAAGTATTGTTTAGTCTGCCTTATTTTCCTTTCTTCATTTTTTTCCTTATATCAAAAAACATATTAATAACTCAATCAAAATTATCTCCAAGAACAAAATTTTGTTATGCTTAATCTTAATATCTTTAATTTGATCTGTATCTGTTTGAATTCTGCCCTTTTTTCGAGTAGTTTTTTATTCGCCAAATTGTCCAATGCCTCTGTTTTTTTTAATCCAATCGTAGATTTTATGCCAGTAATACCTGTTCTCTTTTTTCTCTTAGCCTTTGTTTGGCAAGCTGCTGTAAGTTTTCGATGAGATCCTTAATACTGTCCTAGAAAAATTCATGATTTATTCAAGAAAAAAAAATTGTAACAATTGAAAAGATTAGATAAGTCTTACACTATGAACACTATGAACGAACCGAACCCTCAATTCAAAGATTGAAATTCTTGGATAGCCATGATAAAGCTGGATCAGTGCACAAAGGCGTTTATTCTAGGAATATATAAAGCAATTAAATTTTATTCCTTTGTATCTTTTCTTTGTTTCTTTCCTTTAGGGGGATTCAAGGGTTTTGACAAGCAAATACGGGGGTCACAGAATATAAGAAAGGCAAAAATCCATCCATTACTTTTAAATATCACAGCAGTGATGGTGAGGAGGGTAATTTCTCTCTCTCTCTCTCTCTCTCTTATGGGCATACATATTTCTATTTCTCTTTAATATTTCTGTTTTCCATATTTAAGGTTACCCGGCGATGTTTCTGTGACTGCAACCTACACTCTTACCTAAAGTACAACAATGAAGCTTGACATGTAAGCAGTGCCTGAGAACAAGGCCACTCCAATTGACTTAGCTCAACACAGTTATTGGAACTTAGCAGGCCACAACTCAGGGAACACACTTGACCATTCAATTCAGATATGGGCAACGCATGTCACTCCTGTGGATGAGAACACTGTTCCAACTGGTGAAATCATTCCGGTTAAAGGCACCCTGTTTGACTTCACCACAGAGAAAAAGGTTGGTACTTCAATTCATGAGGTAGGTTTGGGTTGTGACCATAGCTATGTTCTTGGTGGAGGGGAAGAAAATTTGGGTTTGAAACATGCTGCCAAAGTAAAGGACCCATCAAGCTCAAGGGTCCTTAACTTGTGGACCAATTCCCCTGGATGCAATTTTACACTGGTAACTACGTGAGTGGAGTCGTTGGGAAAGGAGGTGCTATTTATAATAAGCATGACGGCTTATGCTTCCATCATGCTTGGAGACAGGGATTTCCAAATGCCATAAACCAACCAAATTTCCCATCAGTTGTTGTTCAACCAGGTAACAAGTACCAACGCACCATGTTTTCGGAGTTTTCAGTTGAGTAAATATTTAAGGTGGACGTTTGGTTTGCGTAGTTCCAATTTCAGTGCTAGAACATGGATTCCTTCTAGTACCTCTTAATAGTATCATGGAATTGGACTTCTTAAAAGAGGTGAAAAATGACTAGCATATAAAGATATACTATAATTTTATTTATTTATTTATTTGCTCCTTTTAAAGGGCCGAAATAAATCAAGATCCGTTCCTACCTGAGGAAATTTTCGACCATTGAGGTTCCCGTTATTTCTTGTATGGACTTGATGTCAAGCCCGACACTATCTATTGAAAAATATTGTTTTAATGACATTTGTCTGAATTCTTTAATTATAATTCTTCCTTAAATAGGAAAAATGTGATGCAGTTACAAATAGGAAATATAAGAATCTGTTTTAGGTTTTGAGAAATAAAGAATAAAAGGTAGGCTTGATTAGAGATATAATCGATTAAATTTGTACCAATATAACACTAAGTTTAAGTTCAAACTTGATTTCAAATTCAAAGTTTGAAATTCAATTCGAATTCGATCAAGTGTTATTTTTTTATTTTGAATTTGACTTGAAATAAAAATTGAATTATTCTAATTCGTTCGATTAATTTGATTAACATGTAAAAAAAAATTTAATTTTTATATTTGATAAAAATTTGATTATTTTTACTTAAGTTTAAATTTTAAATTCGAAATATTTTATTAATTAAAATAATTAAAATATATTAAAATATAAAATTCGATTAGACTTACGAATAATTCAAACTAGATATAAAAATATTTGAGCTCGATTTAATCGATAAATTAAGTTATTCAAATTTGAGTTTAACTTAATAATAATTGAGTCGAATTTAAATTTCATTTGAATTAAATTTAAATTATTTACAAGTAATAATATATCATTTATATTCTCAAATTTGACTTTCATCACTTTTATTGACATGAAAAGCTGCCGTTTATGCTTTTCATGCTTGACAATGTAGGCTACAAATTAGTAATTCTATTTTCCTATTTGCCCTTTTAAAAGGAATTCATCAATTTCTCATAACTAAACGCAAATTTCTTCCAAACTCATAATTTTCTGCAACAGGAAGGAAGAAAAATGAAAGATTGACGGACTGCTCCACCAAAGTATGTTG